GTGGACAATTCCGTTTACGTGTAACCACAGTGGCCAGAAACTTTGCCGAAGGAACTAGTCCACAAATAGCTCAGTCATTTGATCAAGAAGCAGCTGCAGTTCTTATGGCACGTATAGCTGTATTCAAAGCTGAAATTGATGACGGTCCGGACGTATTGCGATGGTTGGATCGTATGCTTATCCGATTATGTCAGAAATTTGCTGATTACAGAAAAGACGACCCATCTTCATTCCGACTTGCTGAAAACTTTTCAATATATCCACAATTCATGTTTCATCTCCGAAGAAGTCAGTTCTTGCAAGTTTTTAACAACAGTCCTGATGAAACTGCTTTTTACCGGTAAAAAAAAAAAAAAGTTTTCCAATCGCACCTTGTATAAATTTTTATAATTAAACTGTTTTTTATTGTTATAGACATGTTCTAAATCGGGAAGATGTTAACAACTCTCTCATTATGATTCAGCCTACTTTAATGTCATATGGTTTTGATTCCCCTCCACAACCAGTTCTTTTGGATTCAATTTCTATAAAACCTGATGTAATTTTGTTACTCGACACATTTTTCCACATTCTTATCTTTCATGGTGAAACAATTGCACAATGGAGAAAGGCTGGATACCAGGATCAAGAAGGTTATGAGAATTTCAAAGAATTGTTAGAGGCACCAAAGGCAGATTCCGAGGTATTTTCATACTCGGTTTATTTTATTATTACTTAAATCATCTGATACATAAAAGACTAAATCGGAATAATCTTTCAAAAGGAACTTTTGGCGGATAGATTCCCCATTCCTCGTTATATTGTTTGTGACCAACACGGCTCTCAAGCTCGTTTCCTACTTTCCAAACTAAATCCTTCTACTACACATGTCTCTGGGAGCATGTATGGCACACCACAGGGTCAAGCTATTTTTACAGATGATGTTAGTCTGCAAGTATTCATGGAGCATTTGAAGAAGTATGTTTTCTGTTTATTACTGTGCCTGCGATATTTGATTTTCTAGTATTGATCATTCCTATATTAATACAGGTTGGCTGTGAGTGGATCTTCCTAACTATGCATTCTTCATTATGATTATATACGTGAGATACCATATCCGCATTTCCATAGAGCTCAAAAAAGAATAACGTTTTAAATTAATGATAGATTTCGTAGATGTCTAAGCTAAAAAGTAATTCGATGTATAGGAGAAATTTGAGATAATTATTTAGGACATTAAGGTTAAAATTACG